TACACAGTGGCTGGTCTGTGGTCTGTGAGCACTGGCAGGGAAGAGATGTGGGGCCAGAGCAAGAGCTCCTGGCAGAGACGGCTCCAGGCAGTCGAGATGGGCAGGAAGGGAGGGAACTGCTCATGGAAACCCTGTTGCAAGGAGATATGGGCACCTCCTGGCCGTGCCCTGCAGTGCAGATGCCTTCCCTGAGCAACCCCCTTCATCTCTGCTCTCCCACACAGCACAGCCCTTGGCCCTCATGGCCATGGGGTTTATGGTGGGAGTCACCTCTCAATCCAGCAGACCAGCAGAAGAGGTGAAGGACACGTATCCTAAGACGTTCCCAGCAATCAGACTGAGGGCAAGTATTCTGCGTTATCACTCTCTGGGATGTAGTGTGCACAGCTGGGTAAAGGGTAATATTTTCCTAAGTGCCCAGCAGCCTCTCCCCAGACCTGCCTCAGTCAGACTCTCACTGTATTAGCCCTGTTTCTCCACCTGCCTCTTTTAAAGTTATCTTTTCATTGCTGTTTGACTCCCTGGGGATGGGAATTTCAGCTGCAGAGTCTCACACTGATCTTGTTCATCCATCCATGCAGATATGTCCAGGGGAATAAGTGTGCAGACTTTCCTCTAACCTGTGGGGCTATGGACAATGCTGTCTGTGGGGCTGGGAAAGACGTCTGTTATCTCTTAGTGAGACGCCAACTTCAGGATCCTCGGCTGTCTCCTCGGGGTGTCTTTCCAAGCTGTGAGCTGCCCTCCAGCATTCAAACATATCTCATAGCAACTTTGTGTTCTTTGAAAGACCCATAGAGAAACACAGAAAATATACAACTGAGGGAATGCTGTTGTGTTGCTGAAAAGAACCATGTGTGTCCTTGTCTAGAAGAGGAGTGCTGAGACCTTGACGAACGGTGAGACGTTGAGTGGTCTGCAGTGGATCCTTCTGCTCTCAGCAGTGTCTGGTTGCACGATATAAAAGTGTGATTGTCGTCCATCTCTGAAAGGTGCAAGCCAAAGGCAGCTGGGAACAAGACAGAGAGACAAACCAGGTCCCATCCCTCTGCTCCAAGCCACAGGCGATGCTCTTGCCTCTCAGGACTCAGTGTATTCTCCCTGAGTTCAGCAGAAATGTGGAGGGATTCTGACATCTGAAAACATTCCCCAGCTGAGATGGGGGAAGCTGTAAAAAACCCCAAGTCTCTCAAACTGCCCTCCGCCATCCTGGTTCCTTAGCACGGGAAGTGCTGATGCTGACAAGCCCTTTTGCGTTAGCTTTCGTCTGACAAAGTCAAACACCAGCGCTGGCGCCAGCCCCCGCTGTTCCCATGAACCAACTGCTGCAGCACAGGGCTGACTCCTTGGGCAGCCAGCGGGCAGAGGCCCTGCACCTCACACAACACTCAGCCAGCACTGACCAGAGCTGCAGTCATGGAGTTGGGGAAGGTCTGCTGGAAAATGAAAAGGGGGTGTGAGCAGCTGGGGAAGAATCTCTGGGAAATGACTTTTGTTTTGCTTAGAGAAGTTACCACTAACTTCCAGTGTTTTCCTTCTTGAACAGCTCTGCATGCAGAGAGGAAACAAATGTCCAACAGCAGTTCCATCACCCACTTCCTCCTCCTGGCATTCGCAGACTCAAGGGAGCTGCAGCTCTTGACCTTCTGGCTCTTCCTGGCCATCTACCTGGTTGCCCTCCTGGGCAACGGCCTCATCATCACTGCCATAGCCTGCGACCACCGCCTCCACACCCCCATGTACTTCTTCCTCCTCAGCCTCTCCCTCCTTGACCTGGGCTGCACCTCCGTGTACTTCTTCCCACTCAACCTCTCCCTCCTTGACCTGGGCTGCACCTCCACAACTCTGCCTAAAGCCATGGCCAATTCCCTCTGGGGCACCAGGACCATCTCCTACTTGGGATGTGCTGCACAGCTGTTTTTTTTTCTGTTCTCAATCACAACCGAGTATTTTCTCCTCACTCTCATGGCCTATGACCGCTATATTGCTATCTGCAAACCCCTGCACTATAGGACCCTCCTGGACAGCAGAGCTTGTGTCCACATGGCAGCAGCTGCCTGGGGCACTGGGTTCCTCTATGCCCTGATGCACACATGCAGTATATTTTCACCCCCCCTCTGCCACGGAAATGCTGTGGACCAGTTCTTCTGTGAAATCCCCCACATCCTCAAGCTCTTCTGCTCAGATTCCTACCTCAGGGAAGTTGGGGTTGTTGTAGTTTGTATCTGTTTAGGTTTGGGATGTTTTGTTTTCATTGTGGTGTCCTATGTGCAGATCTTCAGGGCTGTGATGAGAATCCCGTCTGAGCAGAGACGGCACAAAGCCTTTTCCACTTGCCTCCCTCACCTGGCTGTTGTTGTCCTGTTTGTCAGCACTGCAGTGTTTGCCCATCTGAAGCCCCCTTCCCTCTCCTCCCCATCCCTGGACCTGGTGGTGTCATGTCTGTATTCTGTGGTGCCTCCAGCAGTGAACCCCCTCATCTACAGCATGAGGAACAAGAAGCTCAAGGAAGCCCTGCGGAAAAGGGCCCAGTGGACACGGTTTCAGTGATGATAACCTGCCTCCACTTCTCTGCACATTTCCCAGACTTTACCCTCGGTCATGAGTCTGCTTTCTTGTCCCGCAATCATCTTACTTTTAGATAATTTTCCGAGTTTATACTACTTGACTCAAGGCTTTTCTTATTGTGTCTGACTGTTGCACAGCACTGTGTCAGACGTGGCCTTTCAGATTGCAGCTCTTCAATAAACAGGGATAACCCAGGTTCAGTTCCTGAAGGCTGAGGTCTTCCTCCAAAGCTGATTCCAAAAAAATTACTACTTCTATTTTCAGTGTCTATGAGGTTTAGCTCATGGTATTACTGGGTTCCACTACACCAAATGTTCTCAATTAAAAAGCTCTGTTCATCGTGTCTAAGGGCAGTGAAGATGGTCCTTGAGCTCCACGTTAACTCCACAGGTGTCATGATGTATGACAGGACTAATGTCCTGTATCAGACTCTCTGGAAATGAATCTGGAGGGGTGAGGAAAGGAGAGTGGGGGGACTCACCACATGCCCTGGGGTTGGAATGGATGGAGACTGAGAAGGTGAAACACCTCAGAGGTGAAATTCCCTCCAAAAGTAAATCACTAAATCAATGTATCCACGAACAAAGGCGCTGAAGTGTCATGGGAGTCAGAGGCGACTCAGCAGGTACAGAGGAAGGAGACTGGCGAGATGCAGGAGATGCCTTAGGAACCCTAGGGTAGGACTGTCATGGGAATGGGGCTGTTTAGAGCAGAGAAGAGTGTAAATTCTGTCAGGGTTGGGGATCACCTACAACATGAATTTCGGAGAGCCAGAGGAAGAGGAAAGCATCAGTGTAGACCCAAGCTGTGTGAGCATGCAGGGTGGGGCACACAGCAGGGTGCTGGCGATACCAAACCAGGCATCATGGTGAACAAAGCAATGCTCCAAAGCTGCAGAAGAGAGAGGCCCAGCCTGTGTCATGTTCCCTGGACACCCTGGGGAAGCTGCCCTGGAAATCTGTCCCAGATCAGTCCTACATACCAGCCACTTCCTTCTCTGGCCATACAGCCCAGCCCTGAAGAGTGACCTTGGCTGCATGGTCCCCTCTGTCCTACTCCAGAGCTTAGGGATACCCAGCTCCATCACCACTATTATTTAGAAGGGAACCATTTTCCTACTCATTTGTATTACACACATGTCCCATAGCTCTTGCCACAGATGGTCTCTCAACCAAGCCCATTCTCTGACACCTCCGGCTGGATCAGGTGCTCATGGCCTTGCCTTGACTAATACTGAAAATCTCCATTGACTGAGATCCCACCAACTGGCCTGGATCCTTGCTCCAGTGTTTGGCTCTGAGGGATTTCTCAAAAACTCAGCTCTCTCTGCCTCCCCTTGTCCATGATGTGCTCCAGGCCCCAACTGTAGTTCTGGTCTCTGTAAGACTTGCTCCAGTCTGTCAGGGTCTTTCTTGTGCTGGGGAGTCCTAAACTGGATGCAACAGTCCAGATGTAGTCCAGTAGTGGCTTAGCCTTGGCCAGAAGCCAGACACACACCCAGCTGCTCACTGACTCTTCTGACTCTACAGGACAATGGGAGAAACTAAACCAGAAAAGCTCAGAGGTCAAGAAAAAGAAAAGGATATCAATCACCAATTAGTGTCATGAGTAAAGAAGACTTCACTTGGAGTTGATCAGTTGAAGTTTCTACTGATTTAAAAAATATTTGGATTGTGAGGAACTATAACAAAAGCATTCAAGACCATTCCCCCAGTCTGCTACTTTTTCCCAGGCTCAAACTGGTCCTTCTACCCACCCAGTCCCAAAACAAGCACAGGGGGCTGGTGAATGGGGGGTTACTATGAGTGCAGAACATCTCTGCCACTCTTACTTCCTCACACTTTTTCCTTGCTCCAGGTTTGGTCCTCCATATTTGCGATTCTGTCTTGTTTGTTTCTTTCTGTTGAAAACTAGAGGTTAAGAGCTAAGTTGAAATAAATAATTTAAACTTTAGAGATAGAATTCAATAGCTAATATAGAAAAAGTAGAATAGTAACAGGATTAATGATTAATAGTAACAGGATTAATGATTAAAGATTAATGATTAATGATTAATGATAAGGTATCACATCTGTGTAAGCACAGGTGTAAACAGCCACACAATGCAAGACTGCACATTTGTCCCATGTACAGCCCTTTCCATGGTTGGCCTAATCCCAGCCAAGTTAGTCAATAGATAAAGACAAATGGAACAATATCGAATAGACTTGATTAAGTAAGTGCAGACCTAGATAGATTGAGGAATAGATAAGAATAGGGTATTTCAAAATATATGTATAACAAAACACCAAGGACTTTCCGCAGAAGAAAGATGAAGGACCAGATGGTGACCTTTTGAGATGGTGACCTTATGAGATGAATTGATGGACTTTGACATAAGAAGCAGAACTTTGCAGAACATGCTGATGGAGAAGATTAATGGACTTTTTAGAAGAAACTGAGAACTTAGGGAAAGGTGGAACTTTGCGGTGGAATTTACCTCATGTGTAATTGTGTTAAAATAAGTATATGAGGTGTTCAGATGTAGCACAGAGTTGCCACTCACTGAGGTGATGGTTCATCTCTGAGCTGTGAATAAAGAAGCAAGCCTAAAGTAACCCAAAATTGTACAAGAAATTCTTCAACACATTCTGTCATACTTTTCTTGTTTATTCTCACAGAACCAAAGCAATGTTGAGCTTGCATGGGATCTCTGGATATCATGTAGCCCTACCCCCCCAGCTGAGGCAGGGTTAGCTAGAGCAGGGTGATCAAGGTTTAGTCTACGTGGATTTCAAACCTCTCCATGGATGGAGACTCCGCAGCCTCTCCGGTAACCTCTCCCAGGGTTTGACCACTCTCACAGTCAAAAAGTGTTTTCTTGATTTCAGACAGAATTTCAGGTTTTGGTAGCTGTGTCTATCACCCCTTATTCTGTCACTGGGAACTACTGAGAGCAGTTTGGCTCCCTTGTCTTCATGTCCTCCCATCAGGAATTTATACACCTTAATACAATCCCGCCAAGCCTTTTCTTCCTCAGGCTCAATAGTCCCAGATCTCAAAGCATTTCCTCCTAAGAAAGATGCTGCAGTCCCTGACACTGCCTTTGTGGCTCTTTGTTGGACCTGCTTTATAAGGTCAACAATTTTCTCACACTGAGAAGTGCAGCACTGAACACAGGGCTCCAGATGTGGCCTCACCGCTGCTGAACAGAAGGGGAGGATCTCCTCCTTTAATATGCTGGCAGCCCAGGCAGCTGTTGGCTTTTGCCACGGGTGTGCATTGCTGGCTCATGCTTATCACCTTGTTGTCCTGCAGGATCCCAAGGTCCTTCTCTGCAGAGCTGCTATCTGGCCAGTCAGCCCCAAAAGATATGTCCACAGTGTGATCTGATCACGGGCTGTCTTCCCCCAGGGACTTTCTCAGCAGAAACAGCTTGTCCTTCTTAGAGATTGGCTTCACCTCAGTCACTGGTCCCACAGTGCTGCAGAGTCCCCTGGACAGCCCAGGCCCATTTCTGTCTGGCCCTGGGACTGCAGTGTTGCTCTCTTTGTGGGAATCTCAGTCATCAATATGTTACCACCTGCCATCCACTTCAGCATGCCTTGGCTGAGAAGAAAAGCCTTTCTACACGGGGCATTTCCATGTGACACGTCTGCCCTTGGCCCTGGTGCCACATCTGAGGTGCTGCAGCCCAAATGTGCAATAAAGCCCACAGCCTGAGGCTCAGACTGAAGAAGCCCCGTGTGCCATGACAGAGCTCTGGACATGAGTGGAATACGAGCTGAGGTAGAGAAGGACAGCTCCCACAGCTTTTGTGGTAGGTGGCCATACAATGTCGTAAGCAGAATGGAAGATGCCTTGTGTGATGACAGGGCAGCTCAGATATGTAGAGGTTCTCTCTAGGACAGTCAACAGATATGGTGGCAGTTTGTGAAGACTAGTGTCAGTCCCAGCTGTACTCACCTTGAAATTTTGATCTCCCAGATTCCCAGGAAATGGGGAAGGAGACTAGAAGAGCACTGAACCTGCACATCAGGGAATGAGAACTTGGACTACTGAGGGCACTGACAGGTGGGATCCCATGGGAGAAGGATCAAGGCCCTGACAAAATCCATAGACCTGCCTTCCTATCCCTGACCAGCCTCACATGGGGCCTCCACCCACACCTCTGTCCATTGGTCCTGGGGACAACTGAACCTCACTTTCAGCCCCAGCTTGATCTATGCTGTAGGTGTACCAGTCTCCAGTCCCAACTGGAGAAAAAAACCTTGCCTGTTCATGGACCTGGTTGATTTGAACTTGCAGAGGCACTTGTCAGCTTGAGTCTTTATGGGGTGTATAATGAAATGACACCATCACCCTCCAGCTGCCAGGTCCCAGCTGATTCATAGTGGCCTGGGACCTTTCTGCTTCCATTCTTCCCATCACTTGGTCAGGTTTTGGGACGAGAGGAAGGAAAAGCAGGTGAGGTTTCTGGGTGCCAGTAGTTGAAAGGGGGGGGAGCAGAGCCCTCACATGTAAAAGAATCTAAAGGCTATGCTAGTTCAAAACTGTTATCTTCTGTTCGCATCTCTGAGGCTTTAAATCTTCAGGAGAAACATGGAAGCTCTGAGACCTCTTCATCTCCCCCTGTTTTAGAAGTCAGGTTGATAGTCCCCAAGTCAGAGGTCTTCTTTCAATTCTGTTGACAGCCTAAAGCACCCCATGGTCTGGAGATATGCCAGGAAATTTGCAGAAGAATCCCACTCCTCTGGACTAGAAGATAGGTGTTTCCAGGTATCTTCAGATTCACAGTCTGCCAGTGACTCTGTTCATGAAGACAGTCAAAAGCCTCATCTTCATTGTTGTAACGGTGGCTTAGATGACTGCTTCATGTATAGATTCTCTTCATGGATGGTGACATGCACCTTGCAACCTGGCTTGATTTGAAAGCTAGCCCTGCTTGGATCTGGCATCGGACTACCACCTTTGTAGGATCCCTTCCACCCTCAATTGTTGTA